TCCAAGTGGGTATTGGGACCCCCATATCTCTCTCTCTCTCTCTCTCTCTCTCTCTCTCTCTCTCTCTCTCTCTCTCTTCCTTTTTGTTTCCTACCTGTCAGGAGGTGAGCATCCTCCTCTACCACTGCTATCATGTACTGTCTGCCTCAGCACAGGCCCAAAAGAAACTGGGCCAAACAGAGGCCTGAGGAACATGTTTAAAAAAAGAAAAGAAAAAAAAAAGACAAAGAACTTGGGCCAAACATAGGCTAAAACCTATAGGAAACAAGGACCCAAAAGAAATTAAGTTTTAAGTTGATTATCTCAGGTATTTTGTCACAGTGACAGCAAGCTGACTAACATGTCTTTCTTCCTTCAACTCATTCTCTTCTCTACAGATCCCTTGACTTCAGTCAGCTCCACCATTACCTTTTTCCATGATTACTTTTATATTGTCATAGTTTATAACACTGATTATTTGTTCTATAACCTGTCATGCAGCTGGATCCTAGGCACTGAAAATCAATAAACTGATCTACTGTGTGCTATTTTAATTACATAAATAGTATTCACTGTGGAACAAAGTACATCAGCTCAAATGGAAAAGGTAAATCTCTATCACCAACCCTGTGCCATGAGAATGAGGGTGCTCCAAACATTGGGGTCAAATAACCACATTTTCAAACATTCCCTTTGTTGCTTAAAGCAATACCACATTTCAGTTTGCTTTACATTTGGAACACAGTTTTCTGCTGTTTTGAATTGCTTTTCTTTTTCCTTCTTAATAAAAGAAGCACATGCCTTCACCATTCACCTAAATTTATTCCACTCTTAGTGTCATGGAATATAGTCTCTGCTTGAAGATATTCTTCTCCATTGGAAACCAGTCACTTAGCCTGCTATACAGCTATCATTCTACGTCTGCTGCACAATGTACTCATGAGTTAGGACTAATGTTTCATCCTTCTTGGGTTCCTTTTTCTTTTTACTGATCCATCCACCTATTAAATTATTATGTTAGATCATAATATAATTTTTTTTTTTGTAAAACACCTAACATAGTGGTTGTATTAGTCTTTGTGTTGCTATAACAAAATATCTGAGGCTGGGTGCTTTAAAAAGAGGCTTATTTATTTATTTATTTATTTTTAATTCTTTTTAGTTGTTGTTGGACCTTTATTTTATTTATTTATATGTGGTGCTGAGAATCAAACCCAGTGCTTCACACAGGCTAGGCATGACCCCAGCCCAAGAAAAGAGGTTTATTTAGCTCACAGTTCTGGTGGTTTGAGAACATAGCAATGGCATTTTCTTGGTTCTTGTGAGGGTTCCCTGGCTGTGTCACAAGATAGTAGAGAAGCAGAAAGGGAACAGGTTACAAGTGGAAGAGGCCAAGTAGATGGAGTAGCCTCATTTTATAATAAATCTACTCTCAATTGGACTAACTCAGTTCTGTAAAACTTATATTAATCCCTTCCAAGGGTTGTGACCCCATGACCTTCTACCTTCCACTAGGCCCTGCTTCTTATCTTTCTTTTTCCCCTGTGGGACTGGGGATGGAATCTCACACATGCTAGGATAGGCAAACACTCCACTTCTGAACTATATCTCTAGCCCTAGGTCCTACTGTGTGTGTGTGTGTGTGTGTGTGTGTAGGTAGGTAGGTGGGTGGATGGGTAGGACTAGGGATTAAGCTCACTGACCTCAATACCCTCTGCCCTTTTTTATTTTGAGACAAAACCTTACTAAGTTGCTGAGGCTGGCCTCAAACTTGTGATCCTGTGCCTCATTCTCCAAATCTTTGGGATTATAGGCACACACCACCAAGCCTGGCTTTCACCTCAACACTGCCCTACTGGGGACCAAGCTTCCAGTACATGAACCTTTGCAAGACACACTCAAATCATACCCAAATCATAGTAGTGTTTAAAATTATAATAACACCTTGGCATGCTGGTGCACACCTGCAATCCTGACTCTAGAGGATAAGGCAGGAGGATCGCAAGTTCAAGGTCAGCTTGGGCAACTTAGCAAGGTCCTCAGCAATTGTTTCAAAATAAAAAATAAAAAGGGCTGGGGTGTATCTCAGTGGTGGTAAGGCACCTCTGGGTTTAATCTCCAGCATTACAAAAAATAAAATAATAATAACAATATACTCAAGTTTATCTTCAGATCACATAAAATTATAACAACAAACTTACAACGACTACCATTTATAGGGTGCCTTACATTCCCGATCCCACTCATGTTTTACAAACACTGGTTTATTTGATTTAAGATGATCAATAAATGCAAGTGACTTTAATCTGCAAAGGAGGTGGAGATGTCATTTGTTAGTGGACAGTATTAAAACAAATCATGTGGAAAATGACATTGCTCTGTGTAAAGGAATATGACTATTTTCATAACTATTTCTCAGATAGGGACAAAGGCCAACATTATCAGAGCTACCACTTGTGGGGATGGGCCATTTCTAAGGCAATCTTAATATCTGTTCTCTCAGGGACAAATAATGGCTTCTCAGAGGTTCAGCACCCTGTCATAACAATTCTAATACCCAGTTATAGATAGAATATTTTATAAGAAACTGAAATACTTTTTTTCTGTATATATGCTTCTAAAATTCAGGAACAAAAATATGTTAATTTTAGTTAATGAAGAGCCAAACTGTCTTATGTATATGCCCATAGAAGGTAGAAAGTGGACCTGTTCTTGGAGACAGCATGCTTAGCCAGTGGCCCACAGCTCTCTCCTGCCTCCTTCCCTTCCTCAGCTCTGCACTGTAGTGCTGGGTATGGAGCAGAGGTGGACATTTGAATGTAGGTACTGCCCCTTTGTAGCTTCTCACCACCGGTGAACCACTTCCTTTCTCCAAACATCAATTTCCTCATTTACAAAACTAAGGAAACAACGTCTCTAGATTGGGGTTTTGGTGAAGATTATGAAATAAATCACACTAAGCAAATAGTACAGGGCTGCAGCCTTAGTTATTTATAAATGATTGTTATTATTACTGCGGGATTCGTAAGTATTCCCTACAGGAAGGGTGTCAGATGAAGCATATAAAAATACAGGATATTCAGTTTAGTTTGAATTTCAAACAGACAGAAATAAATTTTTAGAGTAAGTATCTCCCAAATATTGCACAGAACACGCTTTTACAAGAAAATATCCATCTGTTCAAATTTAAGTGGGCATCCTATGTTTTATCTGGCAAAGAGAAACAGGTTTAGTAAAATAAATGTATGGAAAAATATAACTGTGATTAAATTTGACATTTCATCTGCTCTTATTTGGTAGGCCAGTATTCCTCTATACAGTTAGTATTTTCCCTTCCAGGTAATGCTCAAGTATCACATATCAGAGAAACAAAAATAGTCCCCATGTTATTGCAGCAGAATGTAAAATTTTTACCAAATTGAAATCTGTTGGATCTCTCATTATTTACTGAACTAGTCAGGGGTTTTTGAAACTGCTTAGTGAATTATATTTGTGTTTAAATCCTTAATTGGAAAACCACAAAGCACTAAATATGAAAGGTATATTAATGCCTTCTAAAAATATTCAAACTACAAATCTCAGCATAGCTTTGAAACACTCTCCCATAATGTTCTTGTTTACCATGCTTTCTTTGTGCATGCCAGATAATTATTTTTCAAAGTGCTGTTTATTTTCAACACACACACACACACACACACACACACACACACCACAATAAGAAGCGTTTTCTATTTCATTGCAGACTATCTTCCTCCTACCTAAACTAAAAATCCTGCAATCAATGCTACCAGTATGTTAGCTTGCCTCTAATTTGTAGTTAGATTTTTTTGAGATAATACTTCCATTCCTTAGTTCGTTTTCAACCTTGCCTATAAAGAAATGCATTCTAGTCTACTTGCACAGTGTTTTGCTATTTCTAAGAACCAATTTAATGCCAAACTCTATAAAATGCTTCTGCAAATCTTCTGAAAGTTACCGGATTTGGGTTGTCTTTCTCTTGGTCAAAATTATAAACTTAGTTTCCCTAAATGTTAAAAAATCCAAACAGCTTGATGCATTTCTTAATTCATAATTTTTATTTAATAAAACAGGCACTGCTCCATTTCTTTTTCCAAAAAACTGCACACCTTCTGCCCAAACTCCTGCAGCTATAGTGCTAAAGTACTGGACTCTTCAGCTCCATCTCCCGTTAGCAAACGTGATTACACCCTCGGCTCCGCCCTAGGGCAGCGTCCACTACAGTCAAAAAGCAGAGCCACCAACGTTATTTTGGAATTTGACACTAAACGAAGTGATTTCCTGTAGGCTAAGAATTGCAGTGCCCGAGCAAAACCAGAGGGTCTCTCAGTGAACAGGAACCTTAGGAAAGCATGTACATTGGTGACACTGAGAAATTCAGTTGAATCCGGAGGAAAACTATGCTGCCGGCAAAGGAAGCCTGAAAGCCCCCCTGACCCGCGATCCCCGGTGAATCCGAGCTCGAGCCCCGCAGGGGCATTCGCGGCTGGCGGCGCTCGGCACACCATAGTAGCCGCGGGAGGTCCTCGGCACCGTATCTTTTAGTGACGTCACAGAGCCGGAGGGAGAACGCTGGGGACGGCGGGGAGGTGCTGTCCCCCGCTCGGTGAGGACGACCCGGGCATGCGGGAGTCGTTTTGGTGCTCTCATGGTCCCGCGCCGCCGCCGGCAGCATCTCTCAGAGCCTGGGCACCTGGGAGCGCCCAGGACACCCAGCCGTCCACCTGAGGAACCTGCGGGACGGGGACGCCCGCCTTCTGCGTGTTATGAATGTGCTTGTCACTACGCCCTGCTGGTGTCTGAAGCTTGCTGCGCGGGACTCCCGCTTCCTCGCGCCGGGGCCCTGGGAGCCGAGGAGCCGGGCGGGCCGGGGGCGGGGCCTGCTGCCGCCTCGGGCTGCGCCCAGCCGCGGGCGGGCGGGGGGCGGCGGCGCGGGCGAGCGGCGCGGGGATTGGCTGCGGCGCGCGGAGACGTCAGGCTCCCGCGGCCCGTGCGGCCGCCCGGCCCGGCGCAGCGCAGTCGGCTCGAGTGCTCCCGGTGAGGAGGAGGTGTCCTCGGCTGTGCCGCCCTCCGCCGCCGTCGCCGGGCTGCGCCGCTAGAGCCGGGACGCGCCTCCGCGCTCCTCGCCGCCTGCACCCCCGCGGCCTCCGCTCCCCTCGCCGTCCGCACACCCACCATGACGAAGAATGAGAAGAAGTCCTTCAACCAGAGCCTGGCCGAGTGGAAGCTCTTCATCTACAACCCGACCACCGGAGAGTTCCTGGGGCGCACCGCCAAGAGCTGGGGTGAGCGGGCGGGCAGGCGGGCGGGCGCGGCTCGGGCCCCGCGGGCGCCCCCGGCCTGCGCGGCGGCGGAGCGAACGCGGCCCCATTCATTTCCCGCGGGCCCGGCCGGGCCGGTGCTGCTGCCGGCGGGGCGCGGCGTCGGTGGCTGCCCCGGCCTGACCGTCTCCTCCGCCCGCCGGAGCGGGGCGCACGTGCGGCCCGGCTTCCCGCCGCGAGCGGCGCCGGAAGCCGGGGACCCCCGCCGGGCCGGGCCGCGGGCGTTCGGGGCCGAGCCCGGCCTCCTTTGTACCGAGCCGGCGGGGCCAGGCCGAGGCTCCCGGCGCGCGGAGCTGCTCAGGGACGCCAGACCGGCCCCGCGCCTGGGGAGAGGAAATTTCCACTCCCGCCGCTATCTTGTGACTCGTCCACGCCGCCACCCCGACGGGTCGCAGGAGTGCGAGTGAGTGAGTGAGCAGTGTGTGTGGGTTGCAGGGACGTGTGGCGGTGAGCTAATCGCCCGAATACATTGTGCACGAACGTGCGCTTGAATTCCGATGGAGGAAAGGCCCGTAACAAGGTTGGTTCCTCCTCTTTTTTAATTGCTGCGGATTTCTTATAGATTTGCCTCTTCAGGGGAAAGTCAGTAATTCCTACAATTTTTTTTTTCTGTGCATTCAAAAGATGTGAGTGATGTCGTATGCCTGTTGTCTGAGTGATCTCTTTGTTTTAAAAGAAATATTTAATCCATCTACTGGGGTACTGCTGCTTTAGGATGCCTTTTTGTTTGTAAAGTTATTACTGTGAAGATGGCCAAGTGCTTTTTTTTTTTTCCCCCTTTATTTTTGGGTCTTACACTGAAGTAACTCATTTCACCTTTTTAAATCTCTTTGAAAAATATTTGGCTGGTGGATCTTGACACACCTTTACGTTGCTGGAGTTGAAAACTGTTCACATGTTTAAGAGAAGCATGAAGACAGTAAAGGATCTATGACTCAGAAAATAAACTTGCTGCCGACTGAAATGAGCTCCTCCAGGGTGGAAAGGAGACTTGAAGTTCTGTCACAAGCTGAAAGGGGCCTTGGAGGTTTTCTAGCCCAACCTTCACTTTAGAGATGAGAAAAATGAGACCCAGCGAGGTTGTGATTTTGACTGCATAAAATTACATATTCCGAAGAGCCAAGAGAAGAACCCAGTTCTCCTTTAATCCTAGTCCAGTGGTTGTATTATTTTACAGATGCCTTGCCTAACTACATGGTAATCACTCACGATTTTTATTTAAATTGCTATCTTCTTTTGGAAACACTTGTGTGATGCAATAAATCTTGCATCCGGAGTTACATGGAAAAAAAATGAACACTTCCAGAGTTTAATTGTTTCTTGAGTGTATGAACTTTGTCCTGAAGAAATTTTTGAATAGTGGAGACAAATTAATTTTTATAAGCTACCTTTGTTTTTTTCTCTGTTCCTCAGCATCTTTTTCTAGCATTGAGTATTTTCACTTTGTTAGAATGACCTTTTTTTTTTTTTTTTTTTTAAAGTTCAGATAGTGCTCTTTAACCTTTGTATTTTATGATCTTGGAGTAGAGATTTTATTGGGAATATGCATTTAAATAGATAACGTGTACAAGTTTCAAAGTATAGGGCAGGGTGTAAGGGCTGTAATAGTACACACAAGTGAAGTTGGGATTCATTTTAGAAGGATTAAGACAAGATCTCTTTTCAGAGTTGATATTTGTTTGTTTTGCAGTACTGGGGGTTGAACCCAGGGGTCTCTACCTCTGAGCTAAATCTTCTACATCTCCAGCCCTTTTTTATCTTTTGTTTTGAGACTAGACCAAATTGTCTTGAATTTGTGATTCTCCTGCCTCAACCTCTCAAGTAGCTGGGATTACAGGTGTGTGCCATTTTGTTTGGACAGTATTTATGTTACTCTTAAAAAACAAATAGTAAATCTCTTTATAACAATAATATTAAGCTATTGTAGAAAGGATAAAAGGTGACAATTAATCCATAATTTGTTCCCAATGCAAGGGCATCCCTCTAAGGATGTGTGTTGGCCAGGGGTGAGGAGACTGAAGTCCATCCTCAGTTGGCCAGGCTGTGCTTCTGGAGCATGACTGGGTCTGCCTCAATGAGGAGTCCTCTGTTTTAATTCTCACAAAGGCAAGGTCACTTGGGAAACCTATGTGTCTTGTGGGACTGTCTGCTAGGAGAGGTACCTTTTTCTAATTCTCTTGTTGACCCTGCATAATATAAGCTAACTGCCTGATTTCATCACATAATGTTTCATATCTCTTTCTGAAAAGCATACATTTCATTTTTTTTTTAATCAAAAGAGATCATTCTTCTGAGTATAACATGAACATCTTCCCATGTTATTTAAAGATCTACATTACTTTTTTGTTTTTTTTTTCTGGTACTGGGAATCAAACCCAGGGGTGCTTTACTTTACCATTGAGCTACATCCCCAGCCCTTTTTATTTTTTATTTTGAGACCAGATCTCATTAAGTTGCTTAGGGCCTTGCTTAGTTGACCACACCGGCCACAAACTTGGGATCCTCTTGCCTCTTCTTCACAAGTTGCTGGAATTACAGATGTACACCACTGTGTCTGGCTTCATGTCACCATTTTTATTGATATTTTTAAAAAATTTAGCTGACCACTGTCCCATTGCAATTAGATATGCTGTGATTTTTTTTTTTCCTTTCATTATTGTATGCTGGTCCTCCTGCCTTATATTTCCTTCCCCCTGGCATATTTGTTTTTGCACATTTATGTCCTTGGATATATTTGTACTGGTACACCTTTCGTGTGTACCTTTTGTTGTGTTTTTTTGTTTTTGTTTTTGTTTTTTTTTTTGTGGTACTGGGGATTGAACCCAGGGCCTTGTGCATGTAAGGCAAGCACTCTACCAACTCTTTGCATTTTGAATACATGTTGTCATAATGCCTTCCTGGAAACCTCTGCAATTTATACTTCAACTGAAAGTTGAACTGAATATATAGTGGTATCTTATACCTTCATCAGCAAGGAAGGTATTCTTACCTGTGTTATTAATTTTAAAAACTTACAAGAAAGCTGGTGTGGTGGTGCATGCCTGTAATTCCAGTGGCTTAGGAGGCTGAGGCAGGTTGATTGCAGGTTTGAAGCCAGCCTCAGCAACATAGTGAGGCTGTAAGCAACCTAGTGAGATCCTGTCTCAAAATAAAAAAGGGCTGAGGATCCTTGGTACCAAAAATCAAAACAAAACAAAAAAACTTATAAGAAAGCTCCCTTTTTCATTTGCACCAAAGTTTTATTCTAGTTTTCTTTTTGGCTCTCTCTTATTTACTTTCAGGGCAGGGGATCAAATTCAGGTTCTTGAACATGCTAGGCAGTTGCTCTTCCATTGAGCTATACCTTTAGCACCTCTCCTAATTCTTTAATCTTTTTTGGTAGGACTTTGCATTTATTTGTATTTTTCTTATCAAAATGTTCCAGTTTATTGACATTTAAAAAGAATTCTGATTTGGTCATCCAAGAAATGATAAATTAGGCACTTTATAAACTTGTAAATTTGATAATGCTGACTTTGCCATCATGCTCATCAAGTGCATTCTTAGCCAGCTATGGCAGTGCATGCCTATAATCCCAGTGGCTCCGAAGGCTGAGGCAGGGAGGATTGCAAGTTCAAAATAAGCCTCAGCAAAAAGCGAGGCACTGAGCAATTTAGTGAGACCCTGTCTCTAAATAAAATATGATAAAAAGGGCTGGGGATTTTGGCTCAGTGGTTGAGTGCCCTTGAGTTCAATCCCCAGTACTCCACCCCCCGCAAAAAAAAATTAAAAAAAAAAAAGAGTGCATCCTTGGCAGTTGTTCTATCACTGAGTTATATCCCCAGTCATTGGCCCTTCTAAAAAACATTTTAAATCCTAAATTTAATGTAGGTGGTGGGAGGAAAATTTGTTATCATTTTGTTTTTAACCTTGTAAAACTGCCAGGTCTGCTGGTGTGTAGAGAAAGGTCTTCTGTCTCCACAATTTTATAAATATATTCACTTATAATCTGAGATCTTCCCCTCAAATATATTACATATATTAAAAAGCACCCATGAAAAATCAATTTTGCTGTAAACATTTTGGATAAAGTGAAAATATTGCATGTTACATCACAATTACTGTATTTAAAACAGCTATAGACAGATTTTGAGTGCTTTTATATTTGGCTAATAAATTATACTTGGTTATATTAGTTGCAAAATGCTTATATGCACATATGTCACCTCTTTTGATTTTCACAACAGCCCTCTAAAGCAGACTTAGTGGGTGATGGAAATATACTTAGAACTGGTATCTCAAACTGAACTATTGCATACTTATTAATACACATCAGGAATAAGTAGTTGCCATTTATGACAACACAGGACAAAGAAAATTTAGCGCCTACTGGCTGATGTTGCAAATATTAAATAACTTTGGTGCATGAAGTATAGTCATAGTCAAAGGAGTAAAAGAAGTTTAGAGATCATCTTGTGTTACTTAAACTAGGTAGAGGGCCATGTGTTGCAATTAACAATTTTTTAAAATGATGAAACAAAATAGTAAAAAATCAGGTTTATTAATAGTTTTCTAAGAGTGTTGTTTCCTGAAATGTTTGCATATTTTTTTATATGCAGATATCCTGATGTAAGATACATTTCTTACTGTGGCTTCTAGTCAAAAAAGCTTGAAAGTCATTCATCTTGCCCAGTTCCCTCCTGTGAGCCACAGTTAAGAAATACATTCTGTGCAACAGGGTAAGAAAATTGAGGCTACAGATTTGCCAAAATTTACCCAGTGTGTTGGTGATAGAATAGGAACCTTGGACCTTCAGACTCCAAGGCCAGACCTTTTTCTTTTCTTTTTAACTGTGCCATGAGGTGATAGCATTTAAAGACATCTGCTTGTGGGAGGGTTTTTTGGAGTTAATTAAGGTTTTCAATAAATGCTTTAGATTAACATTAACTAAAAACTTGAGATATTGGTTTCTAAGCATAGTGAGGATTCTAGACCAAAACTTAATTAGCACTTATATTTTGTTCATGTGCCTTTTCTTTTATTGTAGGTCCATGAAGTGCCATTTTCTCAGTCATCTCCTCCCAATCTGGGTCATGCCTCAGTAAATTCTCTGCTCTGGAAGTCAGACTTCATCCCATCTTGGGTGTCTAACTGTAGTGGGGAAGACAAATGTGTACATTCTCCCAGTATCACCTTGTTTTATAAGGTGATATCCTATGCGAGTGACATTAATGCAACTTTACAAAAATATGCAGTGTTTGGAAAGTAACAGGACTTGCCGTACCTTGTGCATAGGTTGTAAATACAGGCCATAGGTGGGTATAGTGGTGGCAGAGCAAGGCAGGGCATGTCCTGAGCCATCACCCAGAAGGAGCAAGACAACAGTCCTTGGACTTTCCAGGAAGTAGTCCTATAGGGGAAGGGAGGGAGAGGGCTAAGTCTGTGTTGTGTTGTTTCTGGGTACCATTGTAATTAGACTATATTAGTGTGTGCCTTAATATAGTACAACTTTACCCTACCCCCAAAATAATTCAGTTTTTAAAAATTGACTTTTTAATGTATATACATAGAATTAAACTAGTTCAGCTAAAAGGAAACTTGCTATCAATAGTAAAAACTTTTCCATAATTTATCATTATTTATTAAGGACCAATCATTTAACACTGACTGAAAACATTTTTTATGTTATTATTTTCTAATTATACATTCATTATGTTGATTTTGAAGTGAAATCATCTGTAATCTTAAATCACTATAACCACTGTTAATTTTTTTTTTTCTTTTTGTGTGGTACTGGGGATTGAATCAAGGGCCTTGTGCATGTGAAGCAAGCACTCTACCAACTGAGCTATATACCCAGCCCCCACTGTTAACATTTTAACAGTCTTTTAAAACTGTATAAAGTTTTAAAATATGCAGTTAGCTGACTTTATCACTTAATGTCTAAAGAGAGTGGTTTTCCTTTGCCTTTGCTTAGAGATTGATATATTAGGTTTTTTCATAACCTTTGTGGTGACTTTCCAGATTTCCTGTTTAGAGTTACCTATTTTGGTGACTGATTACTATCTGTTGAGACTCCATATCTGCATGTGTAGTCATATGGCTTTTTTATATTACTGAAACCAGCTGCCTATCAGAAATCTTCAGTGCATATTTTATAGGTACCACTTCACGTAAATCTCCATTGCCCTCAGCGTTCCTCAGCATGACATAAAAACTCTCACCTCTCTCTACCATTTCATGTAATTCTTTCCCACCTCTTCTGGGACTCTATCTTGGCCGACTATTTAGATGTTAGCTTAATCTCTGGAAAACTCCTTGAATTCCCCCTTTGCCTTAAGACTGGATTAACTATGTGGCTTTACGTAGTATGCTGCTCCTAGTTTACTAGACTGTAAACTGCCTCTTTTTCTTCTAGTTTCTTCTAGTGCTGGGATTGAACCCAAGGCCTTGGGCATGCCAGGCAAGCATACTACCTCTGAGCTACAACCCTAGCCCTCCTATAGGCTTCTTATACACATCTTGTCATCTTTGGTTCTCTAACACCTTGCCTGTCCTAGCAGTGAATAGAAATGTAATAAAAACTGTTTGAATGGATGAGCAGTATCATGAAATGTTCTTATGTGGTTAGTCTTCTGTAGTATTATTTTTAATGTTCTTAGTGTTTGATGGTATTGTGTCCCATGGTATGATCATGCTCCCAGTGTTTGGACAGTTGTTTTTTTGTTTTTCCCCCATAGTACTGATGGGTTTTCATAGAAGTTTCAGTGTTAAAAGAGCTCTGGTTCTATCCCCAGCACTCGGGGTGCCGGTACGGGGAGCTGAGAATTAATTCTACTTGGCCCATTAAGGGGAGACTCGGGCAAGTTTGTAACATGTCTGGGTTGTACATCTGGTAAGAATAACAGAACCAGGGTTCTTATCCAGGTCTCCAGCTTGCCGCTGTATTGTTTTGTTCAGCTTCTCCTGCTTTTATGAGAACCTCATAAAGTCCTTTTTGTTTTTTTCCCTTAAGTTACCTGATCTCAAATTTATTTTAATAGTATCCTTCTCTCCCTTATGGGGCGCTCTTACTAATCAGTCTGAAAAGACTTCTAGCTTAATGGCCTCCTACATACCTGTTTAAACTTTGTTACTGAGTCATTTGTGGAGCTAGCTCTCATTTGTTACTTCCTCTTAGTGTTGCACTGGCCCATGGTAACTGACCTTCCTCCAAGGCATGCAGTACTTTTCTTATCATGGTTTCTAGCCTGTTGGCAGTATGTAGCCCATAAGAAGTGATTCTTGATGTACTCTATGCCTCCCTGCTCTCTACTTGTGGAGCCATTCCTTTCCTGCTCCCTTGTCTGCTCTTTTGTTTCCTGAATACCTATTTCCCAGGTGCTAACTTGGGTCTTGTTTTTATCTTTCCTGGCAATGGCAATCTAATAAAACAGTTGTCAGGACTATTCACAAATTTTGCCTATCTCTTAGATTCCAGGCCCCTAATTATTTAGTTGGCTTCCTGTATATCTCACAACTGTGAGAGAGAGAGGCTTAGGTGTCCTAACTGCAGCTCTAGTACCATATATGTTGCCTATTAAACAGAGGTCATTCCCTTTCTTCCACTGAAATCCTGTATTTGTAATTTAAAAAATAACTTCACCGGCCTTTCTGTGATTTGGGTTCCAAACTTGGGTAAATTGTGCCAGTTTTGTATCCATAATATCTCTTCAATACCCCCATTGATATTCTTACAGTTTATTCAAGAATTAATTTTTTTCTGACCTTTTCACTATCTCTCCTTTTCCCCATGTTGGGAAAGTGTACATTCAGAGAATCCTTGGGGTGCTCACTTTTTTCCTAACTTCATAACCCTAGCCACCTGTTTCAAATCAACCCTCAGGTAACAATCCCATTAACCCTGTCCCCATTTTACCAGGAACTGATAGTGTGTTTTTCTTGTAAAATCTTAAAATATTTCAGAGCCAGCCTTAGCGAGGCCCTAAGCAACTCAGTGAGACCCTGTCTGTAAATAAAACCCGAGGATGTAGCTCAGTGGTTAAGCGCCCCTGGGTTCAATCACTAGCACCTAAATAATTAAATAAATCAAACAAACATGAAATGAAGATCTTTTTTTAAAGTTGTTTCAATTCAAATAGATAATTGACTTTCTGACTTTCATCTGTTTTTTACAAAAGTGTGGTATCTAGGGAAGGAGGACTCTTAAGCTCCTGAGCATTTCCAAAAAGATCCAAGCAGTCAGTTGGAATCTATGTAACCTTGCTGCTGTCAGATTATTTCTAAGGCTCAAACTTTAATCATGCTGCAACCCACACCCCAAAATTGGTTGGATCCCCAATGCTTTATCTAAGTTTAAGTAAGTTCCAGACAGTGTGGCATTCAAGACTACTTCTACATCGGCTTGGAAATAAGTTTCCAACCTTATAACCTGTCATTTCCCACCTCATCACACACCCCATGTAGTAGGCAAATAGATGTATCTAATGCCCTGCGTCTGGAACTGCCACTTTGTTCCCTTCCTCATCCTCTTCATTCTCTGCACATTAATTCTTCCCTATTTCTTCACAGGCCTGGTTTGAATGTCAGCTCTGCTGTAAGTCTTTTCTGATTTACTCTAATGATAAGTGAAAATAATACCATTTATTTCCTATAACATCTTCCCTAACCCGTAGTACTGGGGATTGAACCCAGGGCTATATTACCCCCGAGCTATGCCTCCAGCTCTTTATTTTTTATTTTGAGACAGGGCCTCTCTAGGTTGAAGCTAAAGCTGGGCTCAAACTTGGAATCCTCATGCCTTACCCTCCTGAGTTGCTGGAATTATAATCATGCACCATGTCTAGCACACCCGTATCTTATCTTAGATGTGTGTACAGGCATACATACATTGCTTCTACTAACTAGATGTTCTCAGCAGGATTTGCATCTACATTTTATTCCATACAGTATCTAGTACATAGTAAGCACTTAATATTTTCTTGATGAACAAATTGTCATTTAATCAGTTTCAGTTTGTGATTCATCTAGTCCTTGGGTTAAACTTGAGGCTTAACTGTAAAAATTTTATTTGTGGAGTTCATCATATAGGAAGGCATAATTCTGTCACGCAGATCATCATGAACTCTGTTTCCTTCAATTTCTAATTCATTTTGAAGTTTCTAGATAGAGCATTGTTCTAAAAGTGAGCCTGTCAGTATACATATTTTTATTTGATGAATCTTAGAAGTACACTAAAATATTAAGATGATGACCAGACTGGGATTCAGAATATAGACCTAAATTTTAGTTCCTCATAAGCATCTAAGTTTAGATAAGTCACATAAAATTTGTTGGCCTTCTATAAAAGAGAAAAGTTGTATGTAGTGTCAAATGTCACTTTGAGTTAAGTACAAGGCCAATAAAAATGCTTTAGAATAGGAGGCAGCAGACTTTAAAGGACCAGATAAGTATTTTAGGTTTGTTGGCTGCACAGTGCCTGTTGCAATGTCTTAACTTTTCTATTTGAAGTAGCTATAGATGGAAGAAATCTGAACTGATCTGAATGGGGTGTGAACTTTTGGCTTTTTGGTATCATGTAAGAGAAATAACACCAGCATTTGAAGTTTTACAAATACAAATGTGAGTAGCCATTAAATTCACTGTCATACTCAGCTTCTTTTCTGGGTAACCATTGTTAACTGTGTAGTGCTTTTTAAGCAATATATGGTGTATCTACTTTAGGTAGAAGTCTGGCAGTTTCTTGTAAAAAAACAAATACACACCTACTCCCTGAGCAAGCATTTCTACTCTTAGGTGTTTATCCAAGAGAAATGAAAACATAGGTCCTCAAAAACATTTGTACAAGAATGTTCATAGTGGCTCTATTCATAATAGTCCCAAACTGGAAACAGCCCAAGTTTCCATCAGCAGGAAAATGGATAAACTGGTATGTCTAAATAATGGAATACTACTCAATGGTAAAAAGAAAAGATAGGCAGGACAATGGCTGAATCTCACAATTAGTCTGAATAAGAAGAAAGCTTTACTGAAGAGATAGATGATTTTGTTTCTGTGAAATTCTAAAACCAGCAACACTTACCAGTACACTGGAAAAAAGTACAGAATGATGGTTGCTTCTAGGGTGAGTGGGTGTGGGGACTGATTGGAAGAGATGTGGAGGAAATTTCAGGGATAGCATTCTGTATCTTGAGGGTTTTTTTTTTTTTTAATATTTTTTAGTTGTAGTGGACACAAAACCTTTATTTTATTTATTTATTTATATGTGGTATTGAGGATCGAACCCAGTGCCTTGCACGTGCTAGGAGAGCGCTCTACCGCTGAGCCACAACATCAGCCCCATTGAAGAGGGGTTTTGACCATATATATGGATGCATTTGTCAAAAACCATTGAATGGTACATTTCACTGAATGTAAATTTATTCCTAAATTTTAGTTAGTATGCATGTTGAAGTGTTTTGGGGGTAAAGTATACTGCCATCTGCAACTTGAAATGCATCCAAAAAATGACACAAGTATAGTAAAATGTTTATAGACTCTAGGCGCTTTTATGGGTGTTCACTGTTACATTTCATTCATATGCTTTTCTGTGCATTTG